GTTGTTGTTGTTGGTTGTTGTTGTTGTTGGTTGTTGTTGTTGTTGTCATGGTCATTGTTGTCATGGCCATTGTTGTGGTTGTGGTAGTGGTGGTTGTTGTAGCTGTTGTCGAGGTCTTCTTCGTCCACATCATGGTCATTGTTGTGGTTGTGGTCGCGGACGTGCAGATGCCCAAGTGCATGATCTGCACCTGGATGTGTAAATACCCAGGTGCAATCTGACAAGCCTACTTTTGTCTTTTTTTGCGGGTAACATACTATCCAACTCCTGCCCTGCCCCGTTCCCCATAGATTACGGGAAAAAAAATCAACAATTAAAAGAACAAAAAGAAGAAGACATAACTCCCATCTCTGTTCCCCCAAAACTGTACAAAGCAAACACACCTGGAAAGCAAGCAGCAACTCAGCACGATGCAGGGGGAGCAGCAGCAGCAGCAGCAGCAGCAGCAGCAGCAGCAGAAGAAGAAGAAGAAGAAGAAGAAGAAGAAGAAGAAGAAGAAGAAGGTTTCATCTCCTCGTCATGATGTGCGTGCATTGCACAAGGCTGAAGCTTTGGTGTTCAGTTTTCATTTGTTATGATCTTGGTCCGTGAGATGGAGGGGGACCCATCTTGAGCCCACACAATAAATCTAAGAACTCCAAAGTCTCCAATACTCGTCATAAATAGGGGTTGCCGAGTCGGGCTTAGTATCCTTCCCTTCAACCCCTTTCCTCGCTGTCTGGCTGGAGCCCCTTTTCCCCCCTGCCCCCTCCTCCTCCCCTTCACCCCCTTTGGTCACCGTCTAACTGGTTACACTCCTAAATCAGTGTAATCGTCTCAGCTTGGAATCGGCCTGGGACCCATTATGGGGGTCTACCCCATGTGCAAGGAACCGGCCTGTGAGAAATTGAAAATTCTGATCAACACGAACTCGTTGCACAGAATGCATGGCATTGAGTTGAGTATGCCCGCATAGAAAGCAGAATTGACAATATATTTTTTTTGAGACAACTGCGCCTGTGACCGCTGCACTGTTCAGAATTCGCAGAAATAACAGTCCACTGCAAGCTTGGGCGAAGACCAGTTAGAAACTGCAAGAAAAAACAGTAAATCATGCGTTCTACGGCTGACCGGTTCAATAATTGGCAAAAACGGGAGGTTGCGGTAGTGGTACCGCTCTTTTTCCTGTGACCTGGCCTGGGAGCAGTTATCGGTAGCAGGCCTTCCTGCTTTTGGCTCGTTTTCCCAGGAGAAACACTTTCGGAGGATTTTTAAAAATGGCCCAATTCAGCATCTTGATCCGCAGCCATTGATCCCTATAATGATATAATCTGTGGTCAGGAATGCCTAATCCAGGTAAGTTGGACCTCAGCGTCAGGAGCATATCTATGAAGAAAGCTGGCAGTGTCAGACAAAAAAAAAACAAAAAAAACCACCCTTGTGCTGGTCTGACAGAACTTGGTGCATGGCAGAAAAAAATGGCCTCGGGAAAAAGAGGCCCGGAAGTACTTCTGGTACTTCTGCCATCGGCACCATCTTCTATCTCTGGGGGAGATTCATCTTATGGTTCTTATGCCCCATTCATCTTATCCACATGGAGATGTAGGAGTGGAGGTAATGGAGGGTGTGTGGGCGATTCCTTGGATTGGGACACCATAACTGTGTGCTAAGAACTGACTGAGCTCAGATTGGCGTCTCAGCCACTGCGCAGATGAGTGTAATTATTGTTTTTTTTTTGTTTTTTTTGGAAGCCATGTGCCGGTGTGCTAGAGGGGGTGATATGAGCATCCCCTGCTAGCAGCTCCTGCTTTGGGTAGCTCCGGTCTATTGCAAAATATACAGGGCTATCACCTTCTCTGGCAAGACTTTCCAATCTTTTCTAATTTGCTTGGATGGTATTTAGAGCCTAATCCACGTTCGCTAGACAATGGATCAGTGAGCAACTGTAATCGCCATCATCTTGGTCTGAGGGGCGATTACGTATGGCACTCACTCTTTCTTTTCTTTTCTTTTCTTCGAGCCTGAATCGGACTAAGATAGAGTCCTTTTAAATCTGTCGAAGGTTTAAAGACGTGAGTTGGGTTGTCTAGACTCAAATAAAATTTCACTATATGCGGGAACGTGCTCTGGCCTTCGGCCCTTTGTTTTGTGTGTCAAATTCGATACATGTACGAGTTCACCTTACTGAAATGTAATGGGCATAATCCGCATGAAACCAACATATGTCTGTGTAGGATCCTCAGAGACTATATGTGAAACAACTTCAGGCGGTTACGGTGGGGAGCGGCACCCGGTGGAACCGGGTCCAGCATCCCATAAACATCCACGTGTCCTCATACCGGGGCCTCTTGGCTTCGGCTAGAGACCCAGCTACTATGTGTGATATGGCAGTGGATTGTCAGTGAATTGTCAGTGAATTGTCAGTGAATTGTCATGGTCTGAATGTCTGCTTTCCCTCTTACTAGTTTGTTGACATGTTGAGTGCCCCCCCCCCTCCCCGCCCCCAAAACAATGTGAATAAATTTCTAGATAGCATTTTGTCGAAGAGCCAGATCGATACCCGGAGAGCCAACACAACGTTCTGTTTGTGTTGAAAGGAAAAAAAAAAGAAAAAGGTTTCTGTTCATGTTGATGGGTTTCTATTATAACTTTCTGACTTTCCAACTTTTCGGTGGTTGATCTCTTTTATTGTATAGGGAGGGTCTGCTTTCGTCCTCAATGAAATGGACAGTCATAAGGAGCTTTTTCACAAACTGTTGCAGCATCGGCAAAGCAGCAGGGCATCTAAGACCATTCTGCGTACGAATTCATCATGCTTCTCCTCACTCGCATTCGTCCTCCTTTTCCTCCCCCCCAACCCTTCGTCGTCCTCTCCTCTTCATGAGTCTCTGTCCTCTTCATTCTTCTCTCCCTCCACATGTGTAATCAACATTGACATAGGTATCCTGCTCCTGCTGCTGCAACCATAGCCATCTGTGCAGCTGTTGCCTAATAATCTGGTGATCATCAATACAACAACCATGTAGTAGTCGTTCAATGATATGACCGCCCGTACTACCATACTACTTACTGACTACACATAACCTCTCTCTCTCTCTCTCTCTCTCTCTCTCTCTCTCTCTCTCTCTCTCTCTCTCTCTCTCTCTCTCTCTCTCTCTCCCTCCCTCTCCCTCCCTCTCTCCCTCTCTCCCTCTCTCTTCCGTCCAACAATGCTGCAGAGTCTGACCACCCAANCTCTCTCTCTCTCTCTCTCTCTCTCTCTCTCTCTCTCTCTCTCTCTCTCTCTCTCTCTCTCTCCCGTCCAACAATGCTGCAGAGTCTGACCACCCAAAGTGTACTCTTCGACCATCGCCAGGTATTACAGGTAAGTCCGCCTGTTACCACCGCTGTCCTTGTCCCCTGATCACCCCAGCACTACCGCCCCTTTCCCCCTTGGCGCAGCCATGGCTGCCACCAAGCAGGAGCAGCTGCCTGTGGCTTCTCCTTTTTTTTTTCTTTTTTTTTTTTAATACATCTGCTGGGGCTGTTACGGGAGATGATACGAGCATCCCCAGGTACCATCCCTCCCAGATGGCTCTTTTGAGTCCTTTCTATTGGTGGGGAGCTGCACCTGCTCGAAAACAGGTCCAGCGTCCCCTAAAGTACATTGCAACGAGTATATGAAATCTTTCAAAAAGATAGGAAAGCCTCTTCAGTCCCAGAAGGACTGCCAGATGCCACTTGTCAACTCCCTACCCATCAGAAATCTATCAGAGCTTACCCCTCCCCTAAGCCATACCA